GAATTACACGCTTTCTCTTGTCTTATTTGTGCAGGTTTACAGGCCACAAAAGCTGCACGATCCTTTTGTGTATTCGCCCCACAGTGTTTGTTATAATAACTCAGGGTCTGGCCCTGAAGAGTTAGTAAACCAGTTGTATTAATGTTAGTATCACATAAAAATATTATTATTGTGAATTGGGTGTTGTGTCCAACCAGTAAAGGCATAATGTTTACTGTATTTCTATTATAGGGTATGTGAAACACATGACTGAGTGAATAAATACCAAAGTGTGCACTGTGGATTAATGAAATCTAATCTAGCGTGGTGAGTGTAGACCAATCATAATGTATTTTTTACATGCTTATGTTTGGACTTTGATCACATCACTGCCACAACAACAAAGTCAGTTCAGTAACAGGCCAATACTGTAGGAGGCAAAATGTGTGTCAATGCGAGTGTAAGTGGGAATGTTTGGAAATATTGTGATTAACTTACTACAGGGAAGCCAAGGCAATCCTCCTAATAAGACACGGAAAAATTATTTGTGAAATTTTGGGGCTTCATGTAGACCATATGCTGTTTTTTTCCATGCATTTCTATTTTCTTTCTGAACATGGATCATGTGTAAAATTAGGCTATTATTGACATATGTATGTGGTGAACTCTGTGCTGACATAAAGCAAGTAGTCCTATATTATTGCACAGAGAAAAAAAAGGACTGTATAGTTCACACACTGATTGTGATAGACTGCTGACCTGTTGAAACATTTTCCCTGACTTTTACCAAATGCTATAATAAGTTCCAGCATCACCACCAACCCCATGAAAGGTCATGTGCTGCTGTCGTAACACATCACAAGCCAGGAGATGCAGCGTGAGCAAAATAAAGGTTCAGCATTGAGCTAATATGAAAATTTAACTTAATTAAATTGAAATGTATCTAGAAAGGTTAACTTTCTCCAAATGATTCCATATTGTATTATATACCAAGTATATAGTGTTTTATTTATCAACAAATACGATACAAAAATTAAACAAACAACATATTAAATAATAATGATTGATTTGTGTGAACGAAAAAGGTATGCACACACTGAATACATATTGAGATTCTTTTTGTCAAATGCAGATATCTCTTAGCTTTCATGTACTGTGAGGCAGTGGGCTAACTCATGTATTTAGCCACTGTTGTTTTATTAATTTTTTATTAAATTATTTTAAATTTCACAACAACTCATGTTTAATGATGTAGGTCAACACAACAGAAATTTCCCACTTTGGTGTTAGGAAAGATCAAATATGGCAGCCTTTGGTTTTTTTAAGAACTTAAGGATGTCTTTTCAATCAAATATGTTATAAAAAGCTACAAGTAAGAATCCCATAAAATATAACACAAATAAACCTAAACTGAAACAGTAATGTATGTGCGCACTATGTCCCTGTACACTGCTTTCCACAAGCCCAAGTAAAGGTTATAAATACAGTAGTTCTGGAAAATATGTCAAGTATAATCTTCATGTTAATTAAAACTATATAAAAATAGTGTTGATATGGAGGATTAGACAAATCTAATAATATGTATTATTTTGCAACAAGATGGAGTGAGCAAATCAAATCTGTAATTTTGTTTGTAGTTCATTTTCAAAATGCTCACTTGGATATGCAGTGAACTTTATCAGTATATACACAAAGTTTCTTGAGTTGCTTGACTGTCCAAATATATGCTGAATACACCCTCATTATACATCCACATTATCATTCCAAAGCTTAGCTAAGAATATCAGTTTTTGAAAATGTCAGCTTTGAAATACTAACAGATCTGCCTGAACTACCAATATCTTGTGTGTCCCTTGGAATCTGCACCAGTCAGTCCTTTTGCAGTGTTCATCTCAGAAAAGTGTTTGCTTTTATTCCCACTTGTGGATGGTGCTTTGCTCCATGTTCATGTGAAAATGCCACAATGCAATGGAAGACAAAATGACAGACCCCTGAGCTTACAAAAGATAGAAGTAGAAGTGCAAGTACTGAAATCTTGAAAGTATATGCTATTTCAAGTTTTCAGGGGTAGGTAAACTTCATTAATGTTGGTTTACACTCCACTACACCTCTGCTTTTAGGGGAAAGATCCCCAACATAACACATGCTGGCATCTGTCAGTCTCGTCCTTTCCCCTGCCGCACTGCAGCTGCTCTGCCCTGTGCTTGTTGAAAACATACAGACATTCAGGCCACCATGGATTATTTGTGAAACAGATCTGTTTCCACTTCCACATTATTGAATGCATGTATACAAAGCAAACACCCACACATTTTGTGTATGTGACAATGTATAGTCACAGAACTATAGATAAAGGCAGAGTACATTTTATATGTATATCATCGCAGTAATCTGTTAAAACTGGTTATTTTCCAGTGTTTTGTAAAGCAAGCAAAACTGCCCTGACTTCAGACTTCATACTTAAACAATAAAACTTATATGCTTTGACTTAATGATTTTGTTATCTGCTAGGAAAATAAAGGATTCACTTTTATTTACTATTATTCCTCACAGTTGTCCTCAAAGTCTACATGTATACAGTATGTGTGTATCAAATCTATCTTTAAAGCTCCATGAAGAGATATTTTCTATATTAACAGGGAATCAAATGACTGTATTGTGAAAATGTTGGTGGTGCTGCTGATCCCACTGAGAATCAACTCTCCACCCTGAAGCTCTTTTCGGCTTTCACCCTGTTTGAGTTGCTCATTGTTTTGGTTCGCTGGTCCATACTGTCCCAGTTGCTCTCACGAAGACTGCCACAAAACTTTGTGCAGCCGCTCCAAGGTCACAAGCTTACACAAGCTGGTTTTATGCTAAAACCCCAGGCGTAAAATGGCCATGTGCCAAACATTATGAGGGACTGGTGAGGAGGACTGAACATCAAACAAGAAAAAAAAACTAAGTTTAAACTAAACAAGAGCTAAAGGGGAGTGAGCTACATTTGTAGAGTAGCCTGAGTCTGCTGGATGTGTAATCAGTTTGCTAACACTCACTTTATAAAATATGAGGGTTCTGTTGTGATGAATGTTTCTGCCAAACAGTGGATAAATATCACTTTAGGTCCTGGTGAAAGGCAGTTAGAGCATCTTCTGTTGTACAACATATTTCTAATTTGCGGTATATTTGAAACGGAGTGGTTAGGAGAATCATTTTGAGGGGTGGTTGACAGTGTATTTTTACATGATGGGACGGCTTTACTGGTTGGTACAAATTACATTTGCTTGGATCAATTTGTGTAAACATCCCGGTGTGCATGATGAGTCATTCAAAACATTTCAACGATTAACAAGAAAAAAAAGAGAGAGACAAATATAAATGCTTTTTTTGGTCATGTATTCTACATATAACAAGAGATAACAAAATAATTAGTGCATGGAAACAGGATCAGAACTTGTATTTTAATTTGGATAATTCTGCTTAAAAATCCCAACTTCTTAGTTAAAACTGCTTTGTCATATTTTCTTTATAAACACCCCGAGTATGCAATTTCAGTTTTGAGTGGTTGGATTTCAATGTTTTATCTGCCACAGGCAAGCAAGGAACAACCAGAGCTCCTTCTCCTATTTCTGACAGCAGCCTAGTCACGTTTTCACTGTCATTGCTGTAGTTCAAGCCTACAGGATGATCTAAATGACAGCAGGAATCATCTGTGTAAGGCATTCTATGAAATATTGAATAAATATATAAATATTACATTCATGTTTGTACTTTTTGTCTCAGAGCTGAACAAGTTCCCATTGAACTTCCCTTCATAAAACTTGACACTCCCCGCAGTGCACTTCTGCCCTATTACAAGTCCCCATTTAGCCCAGCAGGAGAGCAGAATCCCATGAATAAAATCTTTTATTATGCAGGAAAATGTTGATAAAAGAATGACAAATAAAGCGCCTTCTTATCTGAGGTCCCAATGTGTGTCAATTGAACTGATGTTGTCAAAACATGATAACAACACAGCACCAGCTGTAACCTCTCTTAAAATAGAAAGTCAAACTCAACAACATAACACACCTATTTCTGTAATCCTGCAGACTTACAAGGTAAACATTTTGACCCGAGCCATCTTTTTACATTTTATTTATCAGTTCATTTTGATCAAAACCATTGTAAATCGCTTTACTGTAGAGTTACACACATTCAGCTTGCTGGGATCAATAGAAACACCGAACATTATGGAATTAAAAGGCCATAATCATTTGAATGCTATAAGCAACTCAATACTTGATTGGGAAATTTAACCTCCTAAATTTTTCAGAAAGGAAAACTGACACCATGTAAATTCAGATAGATGGTTTACAAAGTAAAAATATATTAGTTCTATAAATTCAACATTAAGTATTCAGTTGTGGTTTCACCATTTGGTTTTCAATTTCTTACACGATTCAAATTATTAGGCCCTGTCTTTGCTTCCATCAAACGTCGGCCTCAAAGTGCCCCTGTATTTACACAGACAAAATGTGTACAGCTACATTAAGCAATATTTGTGATATTAAATTGAATCTAGTCACTCACTGCAATGTAAAAGGGCTGCTCGCAGCTATTGCTGATCTCACCCAATCAACACCCCCGTCTGCAGCTTTCAGCTCATTGTCATACAGTGGTTTGCTGTTACAAAACATGCAGCTTATAAGATTATTTAACTTATACTATTTTTGGTACAGTTTTCAAACTAATTCATATCACTTGTTGGCTTCAGCCTGCCATTAACATGCAACACTGTGTAAAGTGACCAACAGTAGTAGCTGATACATACAGAAATGATAAACATGAAAATTGAATCTACTTATGTCTCATTAGTGAGTGCTAAGTTGATGGAACATGCTTTCTGTGCTTTTTTCCACATATCCACCACATCAATTAATCCCATTTAACCATGCAGTAGAGCCACTGGCATAAATATTTATAAAAACATTGAATTAATATGATGGGAAATAACAGAACAGCAGGACCGAGGTGAAGGAGTAACGCTTGAAAAGACTTACCAATGTACAGGTTCCACTCTGGATCCAGATCAGCTTGATTGGCCAGGCAGCCCTTCATGACATTCAGGCAGTAATTTTTACAGGGTTTAACTGCTGGCATGCCCTGACAGAAGGGGCAGTACAGCATCTTGGTCAGTGCTCGGATACATGCTGGAGTGCTGCTCACCTGCAAGAGCACAGAGTGTGACAGCAGCCCGGTTAGCAGATTAGAACCCAGACAGCTCCTTCAGAATCCATAATCATTTGAATCACATTCTGTCATTTAATGATTGCATTAATTCCATGAGGATTTTAATGTTTGTCATTTTCTTTTTTCGCAATGTAACTCACTTTGCCTAAACACACCACAATTGAGATTTCTTAGCAATTAGAAGAGTGAGTTCTCCAGAAAAAAATATTTGTCTAATTGTCGCAGTTTAAACACTGCAGAATTCTATTGTCAATTTAGTATTTTGAAAAAGGCTGCAGTCAGAGATTCATATCAGTGTGCGCGTTCAGAAATGCCACAAGAGCTGAGACAAGAGAGATGTTCTGCTGACCAAAGACTTTTGAATGTTTGTGTCTGTGTGACAATTAGAGCTGCATTTATATGTCAAATACTCAGCAGCCAGAACTAGCTATCAGGCATTTTGTTTTTCAGTAATTTATCTTTCTCTGTTTTAATTTCCATTACTTTACATATAAAAAAAAATATGATTTTGTGTGACAGGTGGAGTTTGAAGAAGGCAGTGAAGTTTCATCAGTCATAAACACACATACAGGAAATAAAAAAAAACCAGACTAATAAATAGCACACACTGCCACTGAGATCTCAAAACTCTTAAATTGAACCAGTATTTGTTTAACATCTTCATAAAAACAGCCCTAAAAAAAGGGTTCTGTTAATAATTTGATGATAATTTCAGTGTATAAATCAGCAACCACACATGCTCTTTTACAAACATTAGTTTAGAAATGTTGCAACAAAATAATGTATTTCTGGACATATGATCAATGCTAACACAGATGTATTATTATGTTGTGTTCGTATAGATGTATACTCACTATCTCAGTTCACATTTGAGTGGTTTTGGTCAGAACCACTGGATTATTAAAGTGGGTGAAATTAAACGAATACATTAGCCACAATTAATTTCATAATTAAAGAGAGTGGAAAACGACATAATGAGTCAGTTTAACAATCAATTGTGGCACTAATTGAGTTTTTCGAATTGGTTTCATAGAATGAGGCTATATTAATACAAAAGTGAGCTCCACATACACATTCATATACAACTCACTGAACATGACATGTTTCAAAGACAGATTATCACCTCAGACAGATTTATAACAATGAAAAAGGTGTGCAGATCTATACTTCAGTCCTTTCAGGGAGACAAATTAGACGAATTCTCAGCCTAATGAGGCACTGTGGCACTCTGACCATCCAAGTGCAAGCAGCTGATCCAAACTAAGCATCCGACTCATTCAGGCTCTTTTCTTGAAAAAGCTCATGCGTCAATGGATAGGGAGTGCGGTAAAGTGTACAAATTGTAAAGCCCTCTTATTCTAAAATCCCCAATTTGTTTATTGTAAATAAAACCGACTTAACTTGACTGGTACGACTTGAATAGACTGTAGGTCACTTTGGTGTTATTGGTATAAGGGGGTAGGTATGGTGGGAACAAACTACAGGAAACAGCGGATCTTTAGTTGAATTAGCTGTTCTCTGCTGTATTAGATTCACACCAAAAGTGCAACATTTTATGAGTGATTTTCTGTTACGCCATGCGTAAGCTACTATAGTGACATTTCAGATATTTCAGATATAATACAAAACTGACTGTGTGACCTGGGAATTTTACAGATTTCTAAAGAGTGTGTTGCACTAAAATTTTTATACTCAACACTCAAATGCTTCCACTCTGGAGCCCTGTCAAGAAGTTTGAAGCGACAGTTCCTGGGTTGCAGCTAATGCGTTCCATAATGCACCAACAATCATTTTATTAAACATCTTTCAGGCTGAAAACCCACATTTCAAGAATATACAGACAGGTCATGCAAGCACTTACTAATGTCTCATTGCTTTACAAAAAAAAGAAAAAAATTAAACACAGACAGTGATGACACTTTTAAGAAGGGACTATAGGCACCAACAATCTTTAAAGAAAATGCACTTTGCATACATTACTTTGGACAAAAGCTTCTGCTAAATGGATGTAATTTAAAGACCCTGAAGATAAGAAATTCCTATCACATTTTATTACCATAGGCCTTGCATTATGTGAGTACGTGTGCATGGTGAGAAGATGGACACAACACATCATAGGCTTCTTTACTTGTATGAAAACTAAGGTATGATAGCATACCCCAAGCCACATAAAGAATGAGTTTTAGTATATGAAATGAAAACTGAAAGTAACTGTATTATCTCAACAGAGTGCTTTTTCATTCTTTTAGTGGAAACCTATGAACCTGATAGATGCAAGGCTGACATTCTTGGTAATCCTTTGTTGCGTTGTTGTTGCTGAGCAACCACAGAATCAGTTAAAGGCCCAGTGTGTAACATTTAGTATCTATTGGCAGAAATGGAATCTAATATTCATAGGTATGTTTTCATTAGTGTATAATCACCTGGAATCGTTGTGTTTTTATAACCTTAGAATGAGACATTTTTATCTACATCCGTGGTTCCGCTTTCCATGGAATCCGGCATGCTGAACCGCCATGTTTCTACAGTAGCTCAAGAGTATCTTACTTTAAAAAAAACTGTACTGTCATATAATGTTTTTTAGCTAAAAGTTTAACTCTGAGTGACATCTGATTGTATGACATTTTACTTATTTATAAAACGCTTTTCAAAACACTATTATATGGTGATTTGCAGCAAAACAAATAATCAGCAACAGATGGTTTAATAAATAAATAAAAATAATGAACTGCCAATTATAATTCCTCCAAAAACAACAACAACAAAAAAAATAAGAGTTTCATGACTTAAAATATGATTATGTCTGCTTGAGAGGTCCAGACAACAAGGGCCCATTACATATTTTGGATCCACTAAAAGGCTAAAAGAGCCCTGCCAAAAGATCTCAATCGACAATAAGGCTTGTGGGGAATTAACCGATCGCAGAGCAGGAGCCTGACCAAGCAAACCTTTTAAAAACAAGCAATAAAATCTTAAAACCAATTCTAAAACAGAGGGAAGTTTGTTGCAGCAAAGATAGGTAAATTCTCTTGGAATGTGATAAAACATCTTGTGAAAAGGAGCAGCGCACACAGCTCCCAATCTTAAACACTGTATCAGTCATAGCTAGGATCAAAACAAACAGAATAATGGCACTCACAGATAGCCTTCTTCTTTAATGCAGGCCATAATAATTCACATATGGATCCTGCATGCAATTATATTCTCTTTGCTGACTGATGTTTGAACCTCACCTGCTAATATAAACCACTATTTCTGCTGTTTTGATTAGGCTAATGATGGCTTCTAGCTGAAAATGCATTCTTGTTTTGCCCACAATAAAGAAGACCGCTATTTATCTGTGAGTGCCAGTATTCTGTTTGTTGATGTGATAAAATTCTGGCAGCAACATTTTGTCTTATCAGTCAGTGGATATTTTACCTGCTACGACCAGACTAAAGTGAGTTACAGTAGTTAATCCTGGAGGAGACAAAAACATGGATGACCTTCTCCAGTTCTGCAGATAAGACAAATGACCTGATCTTGGCGATATGTGTTAATGTTTGATGTGCTTGGACGCTTGCCTCTTTTTCAGCCTTGTGGTAAGTATCATAATGAGAGCAGTGGGGGTATTTTTGTAGCCCCACAGAGTCAGGCTACAAGGAAGGCTCAGATACACACAACCCTCACACATCACCTCACAGACTACTGCTGTGACTTGTCACATACTAACTTGACACTGAATATTCTAAAAATGCTCCTGCCAACATCCATCACACCTGACACAGGTGTAGGGCAGCCTGACAAAATAGACGGTTTTAGAACTTGTTCTCAACAGATTTAGAGGTCATGAGGAGAAATAATCATTGTTTAGACATTGTCAAGAGAAATGATCTAATATGTAATTTCAAACTTTGTAACTGAGTAAATAATTTTCCTTCATCATGACTCATCATTTTAATTTGTGATATAGTTGTATTTTACCATTTTATCAATAAAAAATGTCTTCCCTCCACACCCTTATAATTCCACACATATACATGTCAGCTTTGAAAATCCTCCAAATGATATTAATTAACGCTAGTAATAATAGAAGTGAATGCACAAATGGACTTTTCTTCATTCTATTGTATAAAATAGAAATGCAATTAAGTGACTGAATGAATGAATCCTCCTGTGGGAATGGTTCACTTAGGAACAGATACACTGGCAACTACTGTGCAATATTTTAATACTTTCATTTCGCAAAGTTGATTCAGCCCATTAACGGTCACTGTGGGTTTAATGGAAATACAGCATCTGTCAAATCCCTGCCATCTTACTACAGTAAGTGCAGTCAGATAACAAACTTATTCTTTTTAGTCACTCCCAGAATTTAAAATATTTTAAGTTTCAATAACCAGAAAGATGATATGATTTTAATTGCTTACAAATAAACAGAAGCAGCTGTACTGTTTTATGGGTAATGAGCTGGGATAAGTATCAGCTTTGTTTGTGAGATACAGACTCTAGAAACAAGTTTCTGCTTTCTCAAAGCTCCGTTGGGTTTTGTTTTGTTTCCTAAGCCATGAAAGGAAATAAAGTACTACATCATCTACTTTAATTCAATATATATCCCAGCAGCAATAAGCATGGGTGTCACATCTTAGCACTGTGCAATAGTCACCTCTAGCAGGGTGTCTTATTCCATTATGCTTACACCCAATCCCTCGTGATGAGTTTATACCCTGAGGGATCAAAGGGCTACAGTCCCAGACACATGACCTGGATCTCAGGTCTCACTGAAATGTCAAGAGGTGAAGCTGGGACATGCTGGCTTGTAAGAAACGCAGAGTGTAACTCAGTAAACGCATACTAACAACACATCCTCTGTGGCAAATGAGCCTTACCGCTACTACTGGTGAGGGGGGGCTGACACACACAGTGAAGGGAATGTGGTTAAAGTTCACTGAGTGCACCATGGTGGGACTACAAGAAAATGAATGTTGGATTTTTTAGAGAACAGCCAGTGCCTTTCCCTCTGTCTCCGATGATTGAGGGTTACTATATTTTCATTGGCTTCTGTTTACTGTACAGCAGGTCTATAAATATTTATAATAGTGTTGATAATTCAATATATCTGATATCAATACAGTAGTGAAAGGAAACCAGGGTGGCAGGGGATTTGCAGCGTGGTGTTTATCAGTGCTTCTCTCATCCCATAAGAACACGTGTAGAAACAGCCCTGTTGTTGTTGAGTGTGACTAAATCCAAGCCTCAACCCTCTTGCTTTTCCTTTAATCTTACTTTGTACATGATCAAAACTACACACACTCCCAGGGCAGTATGATATACTGCAGAAGCTGCATTAAGATTACATCGCATCAAACAGAATACTAAGGCTACAGCATGATTAATGGCTTCTGTGTACTGGGTGAACAAATATTAGGCAATAGAGCAATAAACAGTGATGGTAGAAATATGTTCTCTCTCCTTTTTCATTGTCTGGGCATTTCTCCTGAGCAATCCACATACCCTTCAACAATGTTTTCTAGACAACACCTGAACAAGCCGCCTTGAGCCCAAAACTTCCTCAAGACATGCACCAAGAGAGAACACATTAGTCAGAAAAGTATCTGGGAGGAACTTGTTCGCAGTAGAGAAACCAGGGGGAAATGTGTGCTTGCTGCAGAAACACCAAACAAGACCTTGGGCTGGTTAGAGTGTGTGTGTGTGTGTGTGTGTGTGTGTGTGTGTGTGGGGGGGGGGTGGATACATAGTAAGTCTTAATTTCAGCTGAGGTCAAACACTGAATGTTTTCCAACAGAATCAGCAAGTGAAATCTGATGAAGTATGGTTGTTAGATAAATGACAGAAGCAAAAAGTCGATCAGGTGTTTTATGATACAGTAAAATTTTGAGTTAAAAGCGGTGAGCACTTTTACCTTAGACACTCTCTGGGCCACCTCCCGACCAACAGAGAGCCCTTGGACAAATGTGCGTGCAGCGATGAATGCCCGGGTAACCTGAGCCTTGAGCTTCCTGGGCACGTCTCCAAAGGGCTTGAGCTGTTCGGTGTACTTACAGATACACTCCAGATAGTCCTCAGTGATGACATACTGGGAGTTGAGCAGCGTGAACATACGCTCCAGCAGCCGCGACCAAAAGTCATTAAGCATTTCCTCCAGGTTAACATTTCCTCCAGTGTAATAGCGCTTCAGCTCGGCAAACAGGTTCTCAAAGACCTCAGAGTTCTGCATATAAGGCTTGCCGTAAGTCCTCACAAACATCTCATTCAGGGACCTCTCTGTGTTCTCCAGTAGCTCCAGGAAGAATTCTGGTTTAAGAAGAAAGAAAAGTGTTGCTTATCATCTGATTTACTTTCATGTGCAACTGCATTAGTATAGATTATACTGTACATGGCATACATAGATATGGCTTGATAAGATGCACCGGGAACATTGCCTACATTTCAGATTAAAATAGAAATGCGGCAAAATGACATTAGATGTTTCTGATTGCAAGACAGAATGCTGCTTAAAAAGGAAAGTCTGCTTGATTGCCATGCCAACAGCAAACACGCCGACAACCAAAAAATACCAAAATAGCAAATCAATTAAGGCTTCTGATGTTGATTTCATTTTGAAGACTTCACAGCTTTGTTGATTTTTATCTCCGATAAACCACTATTGACATTGCAATGGGAGCCTTCCTCATATATTTCTGGAAAGCAATAAGTTCTGTGTTTGCATTATATGAGGTCTGTGTTGTCCATATCTCACCTCTAAACCCAAAATACATTCCTGTACCCTGATAGAAAGGACATATAGGCTATTGCTCAAGGCATATTTCTCAATATGCAGGAAGCATAAGGCTGTCAGATGAAGTGCAATAAATTATCCTTCAAAATGATTATAATTCCACGATACAGTTTGTCTGTATGGTGTGCAGTCATTCCGCAAGCTCCATTTTAGGTACCACTTGTTGTTTGCCTCATGACCTCTATGACTCACCAGAAATTGGGATGAGATGATAATATTTCTGACCATCTGCTATCCATAATGATAGTCCTGGCTTTCAAGGACTGAGATTAAAATTTAAATAGGCTTCAAAACTCTGCACATTTAACTGCAAAGTGAAATAGTTCAAGCCTAGTCAGAGGCGACTCCAATCCTGTGAAGGATGGCAGAGATTACAGAAAGTCTTTTATACTCCTTAATTAATGCTTTTATAGGGTAATATGCCCAATCCAAAGCTATAAAGCAACATGAATTGATTGATTTTTTGGCCACTTGGAGGTAGTGGAAAGAGCTGTAGACAAAGCGTTAACATATTATCACTTCATAAAGTTGATAATAGTTAGCAAATAGTTAAAGGTCCAGTGTGTAACATTTAGGAGGATCTAATGGCAGAAATGGAATATAATACTCATATGCATGTTTTCTATGACTGTCCCCTAATAGTCAGGTAACTGATAGTTGACGAGAACAGTCCTAGTCGACGCACTTTTCATTAGTCGGATATTCGCAGAAAAACAAAAAGGGCGTAAAGCGGGAGCTTTGCTTTGTCATTGGGTAAATTATTGTAACACAAATCCTAACACAGCTCTGCTGCATGTGCTCGCATTAACTGATAATGGGCTGCTGCCACTAGCATAGGGGTCCTAGCTGACTGTACCCGGACTGGGAGCTAGAAGTAACAGGGAGGTTTGTTTAAACCACAGGCTTTGGACTGCTGGGGAGTGAGGCCGGAAGCTTAGCCAAAGTAGGGCAACTAAGCCGGGCTGACACTGGGACCAAACACAGCCACCAACACCATCACAGGACTCTACAGGTGGAGGAGCGAGTTAATTTGTAAGTAACTGTTAATATTATCATCCATCATATTGATAAGTCCGCCAGTATTTGTAATAGTGAAGTTGGAAGTTATTTATTCTGTGTTTTGGACAACGAGACGTCAGTGATTCTGTTATACAGTGACGAAATAAACTAACTCTACTACTATGAAGTCTACTTGCTGAAGTTTACTTTTAGTGCAGTGGGTTTATTAGAGTTTTGTCACTGAAACAGCTACCTGATGCTACCAAAGCAATGACCTGAATGACTACAGTGATAATTGTCTGTGGGAACACCTTTCACATTAAAAATAATAATTTGGTCCAGTGTTAATATAAACACCCTTATATTTCTCACAATAAGTGTGTTCCGAATTAGCATCTGTAAAGCAATTCACAGTCACATGACATACTCTGATCTCACATATCCACTAACAGATCCATCTCTCTGAGCAATGCACATTACAGTCACTCATAAGAATAGCCCTGACAAAACTGTAATGGATTTGAAGTGGTCATTAGTGTTCCGCAAAGCAGGTGAGTTTACAGATTACAGCAGCAGAGCAACAAAATGGCATGACTCTCAATTACACAAGACCAAATCACATCTGATTAGTTATATAAAGAGCTGTTGCTCACCAACAGATATGTTGCATATGAAAAATATGCCTCATCTGCAAGGTATAGAACACACAGGATGATATTTCATAAATTGTTAGTACCTGACAGACAAATGTATTTTTATCTGCAACAAGCAGCTATAATAACTCACTTGATGTGAGTTTATGACATTTGTCACAGTAGAAACGCTAGATTTCTAATCCTGCATAAATCTATTCAGTCCAAACCTGCTTCTGATTTATCACATACTATATGCTTGTTAAAGACTTGCTTTCTCTATTGTTATCACAATTAATTATGTTCATTAGCAAGTCTTATCAGGTACCAGTGAGTGTAAACTGTAATACGTCCTCTGGGGACCTGATAAAATTAGCTTCACTTTCACACTGCTTTCTTAAGAGGACATGACTTTTTCTTTTACATACACTATGAAAGACTTGTTATGCTGGCCACAGTATGGTTCTTTTTTAGCATTCTTGAAACTATAGTAAATGAAAGTCTACAGTGAGCAGTTACTTAAATATGAGCTCCAAGCATGATTTGTGCTTCAGCAACTCGTTTTTAATAGTCAGTGGTGCTGAGCGATATGCAGACTGATTAATGAAGGCTTCAAAACTAATTTCATTTTAAAAATGTGCATTTTGGAAAAAAACATCTTATGCAGTCAAGTTCTTAGCCCAGTGCATCAGCTGAAATATTAATTGAATATAACCAATGTAATTAAAGCTAAATTTATAGTTAATGTGGACAGTATGTTGGATGTAATTCTAAGCTCTGTTTTGGAGTGATTACATTGAATAATTACATTATGGATGACCTCAGTATAATTCAGTGATTAAAATATTTAGTTAAAAAAGACAACTTAATCAAATTAGTGACAATTCATGAGAGGGATCATAGTTTATAATAGCAAATGTAGTGAAATGTCAGAGACTAAAAATGATTTGGAAAGCTTTCATAAATCATTAACACGTCTTAGTAATTAAGAGGTCTGTCCAAATTAACAGCTGCAAGAGCTGCAAACAGAGGATAATGATGCTGAAATGCTGGACAGGGGTTATTCAAATACTCCAACTTGCAGAGAGTTCATTACATTTCACTGATAAAGCTCAGTTTGGCTCCAATTCCTCACTGTGCGCACAGAGCTGCACAGAGGTTACACAGAGCCATTCTCTGTGTGATAAAGAGAAAGCCTGTGTTTCTGTGCTTCCACAGCTGCTTGCTCTCACAGAAACCTACTGACAGATGCTCTCCTAGATGTCAGAGATGTCAGTAGTCTCTATTCTGGCATTCTTGAAACAGAGCATTCCTATTTAAAATATCTGAGCTGGATGAGGGAAAAAGGCAAGTTCAGTGCTTTTCATTTACCAGCAAATCACAGAGACTATGGAGTCCACTTGATTTGGTCCTAAGCACATAACCAACCTGTGAGGAACCTTGTGGGAAGTTTCCTGCAGAATTAATTACTGCAAAGTCTCCTGAACTGTGACCAGCCATAACTTAGGAGGATAAAAATGGTTGGTTTTCCGCCACACTTCACTATTCTTAATTTGAGTAATTACAATCTATGATTAAAAAAAAACAGTGTGGTCAGGAAACTGTGGCATTAGCTTGCTGGGCCACATTCTCACTAGACCACATTTGACATCTGTGCAGGCAGAAATCTATATATATATTTGTGCATAAACAAAGTAATCAAAAGCATAACTTAGGCAGCAACCAACACCTAAAATGGATATCCATATCGTAGGCTATGGCTTAACACCATTAAAATTTGAGGAATAGTTCATACAGCAGCACAGTTAAATTCTAAGCAACTGATTACAATAAGCTAGATGTTTTTTAAGAGTGCAATTTTAGAATCAGTACCATAAGATAATCTAATTACAGCAAAATCTCAGGAACATAGTTCATTGTTCACCTTTATCTGTCAAAGGTAAAACCTTTACCAATCTGTACAAAAATAAATGTTTGTGAAAATTTCAGGCAAAAATGTATTTGCAGAGGCTTTCTTGATAAAAGCTGATGAAAAAAACTTTTTGTTCATTTTGTGTTTAAAATTGGAAGAATGGGACCCTAGGGGGTAAACCTGGGAGTACCCTATGCCTGAGAGAACAACTTTGGTGGACGTATAGTTGGATTGTTGGACTGTGTTAGTCCTCATTCTAGTAAAATCTTAATTGGATTATTTTATGCATTCTTCCAATTTGAAAACTTGAAAACTTGTTGCAGAAATATTCTGGAACTGCTCAGAAATGCAAGAAACTGGCTGAATTCTCATTAATTCAACTGAATATAAAATTATAAATTCTTTGAGGGACTAACTAAAATACTGCATATAAAAATGATCTACCATTGTAAATGCTGCCTCGGATAGCTTCTGTGCAATTGCACACCAATAAAGCCAATTCATTTAGTATAAGAAGACATTTTTGATCATGTGTCAGATGTTATCTATGTAATACACATTCCTGTAAGCAACAAATTGTCAAATCTTGCAGTAAATTATCAGTAAAGCTGCCCTCAGTAAACTGCAAACCTCTTTTATTTAGCAGAGCCACTCCAACAGGACTACAGCCAATCAAAGAAGTAGCCCATCTTTTGCTTAGTGATTATGGAAACTGCATAATTAAATAACACACGGCTTGGTATGCAACCTCCCTGAGCTCTCATGCCTGCACATGAAACTAACAATACACACACTACACATCGTTGCTCCTTCCCGCAGGGTTGCGTGGATGTGAGGACGTGTTTATTTGTACTTTAGAACATAACTGCCATGAAATATTCAGAAATTCACATTTGATTTATCTGATTCACCCTTTTGTCCTCGCTAACACTGTTTGCCTTTCTTCATTCACTCTCTAGCTCGCTCGACCACTGCTGCTTTCCCTTTCTCTTTCTCGTTGAGCCGGGGAGGAGGGGCCAACTTTGAAACGTGTGTTTACAGACAGCAATTCCTACTCATCATTTCTTCAACTGGGATTTCACACACTGCCCTCCATCACTCAGCCCTGTGAAATCTTATATATTTTTACAAACATTGCAGCTTCTCAATCAGAAATCCTACTACAGTCCCATGTGTTTCCACATAAAAACCCTATCGTGTGCAGAGATTCTGTTGCATTTCTACTCTTCCAGTCTCCAACTGAATAGTCCAATAGGACTTCCTAACAGAGGAAGCGTTTTGCTGAGCAAGCATGCCCTTTTCAGCACCACCTAGCTTCACATTCATCTAGTCACACGCATCCACACCTGGTAGCTGGCCAGCAGAGTGCGCCGGGCCTTCTATGGTTGGCAGCTTTTGAGGAGTAATTTCAGGTTAAGTGCTTTGCTCAAGGGTGCCTGGACAATGGCTGCTTTAGGTTTTACTCACTCACTTGTAAAAACGTACCCAGTTCTGATCAATATAGCACCAATGCAAAACAGAGTTAACTTAAAATACTAGTTGTTTTGAGGAGTTATTTTTTAATATTAATGTTGGGTTATTTCCCAAAATCAGTGTCAGACAGAAGTTTTACCTTTAAACTGTTACAAGTAGTGACATATTTTAGTTGGCATAAATTTCTCAACAGGGATAACAAAAAATAACAATAACACTGGGTACAATCAAACCATTGACTTTGGTGGTTTTCTAAACATGGGTATTGGGTATTGGGTATTTGACCCAGTGTGCAATTTTCTGTCTGCAGCAATACAACTGATGCCATTTTGTGGCAGTTTCTAAATATTGCCTTAATAGACTGCCAGGATATTTTTGAGAAGTGACAACAGAGTGCGAGTCAGTAACTCCAACAGATCAATGGCGGAGGGTGGACCACATTAATATTCTGTTTGGCTACCCAGCACCATGGTCAGAGGAGGACCAACAATTGATTAGCAATTAAGACCCCTGACTTAGTCTTTAATGAGCAAGTAGAAAAGAATTCTCTGCACCAGCCATTTCTCTAATGTCTTTAAGCTGTTGTTTCCTGGGGTCTTAGGGGTATTATAGTAAAAACAATGAGAATATTCAGACATGATTTTATTAAGAAATTGCAGTAACAGTCACTGCAAGTTTGGCATACAATTTTCAGATGATGCTGTTTGATCCACACAGCTGTACTGTGTAACACGGGTTGTTGAGGATATTTCTGTATATCTGCCCGGATGGTCTCGGCGTAGTCGAGACTGTGCCCTCTCACTGTGACACATAGGCTATGGTGTCAGGTATGCGTGGGCTGGCCAGCTACTGTCAGCTACAGTAGCACTCATCACAAACTCTGCATAAAGAGAAAAACATATACACATATACTGATACTGTAGGTGTTACTCCATAGCCAGGTGCTAAATAAATGGTTAAGAGAATCTAATTAAAACAACTGCTCTCTATTGTTTGGATCTTTAACAATGTGCAGACTCAGTATAAATACAGAATCTTATATAATATACAAATTATGCTTCACATACTTTTTTGTTCGTGATATTTACTTGCTGGTTAAATCTCATCTGATATCTCCTGCTCAAAACTAATAACCTCACAACTTTAACCACTCAGATTCATTTAATGACACATAAAGATAAGGGTGAAATTCAAATCTAGCGATCAATATCTCAGATTTCCTGAGCGGGTGGTCAGCTGAGACCCTCAGCAGACACGAAGTCTCCAGACAGCAGAGGGCAACAGAGCTGAAACCTGCATATGGTATCTGCTTTGACACTGATGAAATTATGGAGAGTGGCAGTAAACCCCAAGAGGAAGAAGGGTGCCTGGAGTCATGCATCTAAGTGCTGCTGGACAAACCCCATTTCCTCCCTCACTGGAGTCCTCCTTATGACATTCACTATCCTGACAGCAGCTGATCAAAATAACACTTATTTATTTATGCACGCTTCCAGGAATCACATGTGAGCTAAAGAAGTGTATATTCCTGGAAAAAACAGACAGACATCACCCAGGCATTGTGACATTGAGTTTCTGGGCAATGTGCAATCATCTGAGAGTTGCATGCTGTAACTGAATAGTATTTGTTTCATATATTATGTTGAATAGTTTGAAAGGAATGAGCTTGGAAAGAAAAGACATTGACTGGTGAGTATCAAATTGCACTATTAATCACTCAAACATTATTCAGTTATTGACATTGGATATATTTAGATAGCCCAATATGAAAATCTATGCTTTGACCTCCTACTGGATAAAGATCAAAAATACTTGTGGATTAACTGAATATTTTGGGAGTGTTGCTGTTCAATCCTGAGATAAAATAAGAAGTTATATAAAATCTGTGAAACCATGTCTGTGTGTTGTGTCAATGACGTATTGTTTTGCCGTTGTTGAGTCTGATATTGTGTACCATCAGTGCAGTAGTCTCAGCTCTGCACTGGCAATACAATTTTCAATTCAGAGGAAATTCAAGACTCATGGCCCCTTTATTTTCCCAGTTATATATTGTTGTTTGTTTTTCTTATTTGAATTCCAGATGACAAGCAAGCAATCATTTAAAATAAAGAGCAGAAAAATGTCAGCAAGCACGGTAATAATATGCATGATTTGATAATAATGTTTTTCGTGTTTATGAGCATGTGTTCCTACATTAAAGCAGGATGTTTGTTTATATGCAGCTGTATAGGCATACATGCTACAGGTAGTCAAGATAATGTATTAATCATACTACATGTGATCCATATACTGCAGAAATAATTTGCTTAATTTAATTCAATTTCAAATGTAAACTGTCAACCACAGTGGTAGAGTAGTTGTAAATGGCAGTACGATACCCTCCTATTCAGGTCATTGCTTTTTTATGTTTCTGCTCCTTGACTGTAGAGTAGCCTCCCGCAAACATCTCAGGACACTTTTATAAAGCATCTGTAAACTTTAAACTCTCTTGTTTTGTTTGGCTTGATCATAGAACTTTATACTTTGTGATTTCCTGTAAAGCTCTTTGTAACCACTATTTTGGAGATTGCTATCATAAGAAGTTTTCTTACCCATCCTTTCAGTTGCCAAAGTTTGATGGTTACAGGCAGCTTTGCTATTTATTCATATGGAAAGGATTTAACTACACATTTATCAGCAACAGGAAGCAAAATCTGATCTTTGGTTTTAAACACAGGGGCTTGTTATACAGTATATACCAAGGGATAAGTACTATTAATAATATTGGACAGCATCTTTTCATATTATGTACCTCATCATTCTTAATGTAGGCCTACATTAGGAAATTATTATAACCAAATATTATTTATTTATATAAGAAACAAAACAATTTCAAAAGAGTTACGTTGTGTCCTGTCATTCACTTGGAGAAAAATAATTCAGAGGTTTCTTAATTAGAACTCATTCTAATAAATTGTTTGACAATGCTAACAGGTGGCTATGCTTGACAATTTTCACCTCCACCACCCTTCACCATTGTCCACAGTGATAAGCTGCTGCTTCCCACGCAGCATAATATTGGGAGCTGGAGGGATTATTATTTCTCATTAAACTGTAACTAGAAGGAGCTGACTCCATAGAGAAGGATACCAAGAGGGAAGAGAGGTAGAGTGAGGCTTGGTTCAGTAATGAGTACATCCCCTCCCATTGCAGAAGCTCAGTGGATGTTTGGTGGTCAAGACAGTCACCATGGGGCTAAGACAAGATCACACACAGCATAAGACCACCAAACTATCTTAATAATGTAAAACTTGGCTTTGTACTGCTGTTCAAGTTGTCAATCCGCTGTGAAAGAAGCCATGTTTGTCTAATCCAATAAGAAGGTTCCACACTCCAAGGCATATTAATAAGATTTCCACATCTTGTCTCCTCTTTAGGGAGGACAGCTACAGAGCTACAAACAGTGAACCTTTTCAAATTAACTCATACAGTTTCAAATCCTTTGATTTTTCTTTTTGGAGCATTTTGTTATACAGTGACTGACCATTACAACTGTTGAAAAAGGGAGAGAAAATAGAAAAATGAATGAGTGTAAATGAAGGCAAAACAGACTTACCATCAAATCTCTTATGTCTGGAAACAAACGTGCTTCTCAATTCATGACTCATTTCATCAACAAGATTCTCAAAGTCCTGTTTACTCTGTTGGCCAAATTTGTCCTCCATTTCTTGGGTGCAACATGTGTTTCCCTGAGGACAGACACGAAGATGTTCACCTGTAAAATAGACAGAGAAACTGTTTTTGTATCTATACCAAAAGTGACTCAAATAGATGTAACATGACTGGGGTATACAGAATTAGAACAATTCCAACACCGTTGCACCATTTCAAGAAATCCTTTCTTTCCGCATCTCAGTCTTATTCTTAAGTCCCCTAATTCTGAGTTAAATTTGCATTATGGCATCAATATAAAATGTACTCTAAAATCCAGAGCTTTCACTTCAGCAGCCTTGATGCTTAAGATTACTCAAATATTCAATGAAACTTCTATAGCAACAGGTCTCATTTTGGATGCACAATCATTTAAGCTGAAAACAGTATTTAACTTTTATGTTCTCCCATAAGCCTTCTATGTTACAAGAAAAGATTGTTGTTGCACAATCACAGCATCAGGTCTTAATTAGCGGCAGTGCAACTGCGGGTTGCTAAGCCTCAACCCCTCCTTACTTACTGTTCATGCATGGTACATATGCACTTTAAAATGATAACTGCTGAAGATTTACTACCCAGAATTCTTTGAGTTTCAGTTGGTTGAAAATGCTGTCTCCGGGTGACTTTTTAATGTTTTCTTGTTGGCTATATACATGATATCATGCTAAAAGATTGAAGCTAAAGCTGCATGTCCCAGGCAAAGTAACAGCATCCTCACCATTTTAAACAAACAGTATTGTTCTTGTAGCACGGAGCCAAGTCCTAGTTATATGATAAAGAAAAATGTCTTCAATAGTAACACCAGAGAAAAGGGGTTTTATGTGAATGGAGTAGTGTTTGCATGGTTGACATAAGGAGAAGTGTATATTGGTCCTGTGCATTAAATGTGTATACTAAGGTGTATGTACATGTATGTGTGTTAATTGGGCTCTTTCATGACCTATAACCCAAGGTTGCTGATATTCTGATATTCTAGCCCTTGGCCTTGGAAGTAATGTTTTTTTTCAAAAAAGTGCTTAATGTAGCAGCTAGTTCACATTCACATACCCAACATTCAATCACCAAACCCCATTTTCTGTCCTGAGTTTTTTGTTATTTGTTTTTCACACCGTTTAAAAAAGTGAGTGTATTCCAGTGTCCGGACAATGTTTACACAGTGACATCACAAATATGCAGATTAGCAAGTGACGTAATCTAGTGGCATTTAGCGTCTTACGGGCAGGCTTTAGCAGCATTCCATAGTTTGGCAACACTGGTTTACACATTTTTTAAATTTTGCTTTTGGTTTTGTTTTACCATAGACATAAATTGCATAATTTTGAGACATGGCACCACAAAAGAGTAGCAGAATAATTTGACTTTTTTGCAACCATGTTGTGATGTCAAAGGCTGCGGTGTAGATGATTAAATATAATACATTGGAATTAGGGAATTGTAGTTCATTAGATACCCTTTTAAACACTTGATCTCTTTTAAACAAAACCATAGAGTATAGTGCATAAACCACATGTCAATGAATTATAGTTAATCCTATTCTTAGGGTTACCTTGGTTTCTCAGTAGTTCACAAACTAACTGAGATTTGAAATGTCACCGAGATCAAACTCTTGTTTCTTGACCATTTATCCCACCTCAAATGAGATATGCAATAGGAAATGAACAGAGTAAAACAACAGCTTGTGCCATGTAGGATCATTCTTATGATTTTACAGAAGAAGAACAATGGTTCTTTCTTCCCATTTGGTCTGACAGAAGTAGCCTACCATTGACAAGGGAGAACAGATACACTCTTTTAAAATATTCTCTTGCACATTACATAATTGATGACATTGGGGAAACACTGAAGAGAATCAAAAGTTAATGATCTACATCATTCCATTTTCCCAAGCAGCTATTTTCAAAGAGCCATAGATAAAGCAGACTTGGTCTGTAACAGCATTAATTTCTTCATTTCACAGTCTAAAACCTACGGAAGAACTGATGACAAAAGATTTGAGAAAGCAAAAAACAAATTTGAGCGCTACTCAGTCTGCAAGTCAACTCTTGAGAGTGCACAGGCACAGATTTGAGCACAGTTAGATTTGTGCATGAGGAAGGACAGAATCGTGAGCGTATTTTAGCATGCAAGAGGAATTGTGTAAATCAGAGCAAGCAGTAAACCTTTTTCACAGCAGCTACTCATGACATGAAATAGTAGAGTAAACACAGATACCCTACCCTACACTTAATGGAATAGAGCATGAATTAATATAATTTGTAACACCTGTGTTTATCCTAATATTTCATATTAAAATGGCTGCTGTGAAAAAGGTCTAGAGGGATTTCCACACTTGTAATAATTAAAGCTGCTCGCACACACTCAATAGCAGTCTGAATCCCCTGAGTGCAAACTCAAACTGAGAGCAGAGTGTCACCTGTTCAATCTGACCTAGAAGTGAAGGGGTCATCCCGTTAGACCCTTCCTTCAGAACAAATGCTGAGACAGCTGCATTTTTTGACCCCCAGATGGAGACAGAGATAAGTATTTAGTGTCTGTATTATCTTAAACATATAAATGCGTTGGCACTAAATGATAAAAATAACATTCAATCTGTTAGAAAAGGATCTAGTTTTTAAGTCATTACAGCTGGGTAATTTTGAGAGTCAAATGAATTCAAAAGCAATCATAGTTAGTAGTAATTCCATCATACTGGCCGTGTTAGCTTTGTGTTCTTCTATTTTGCGCTCTTCTTCTGTACTTCCATTTCTAGTGTAATTTTCTTTACCAGATGTAGAATTTCCAGTTTTTTTCTTTATTCCATTTTTCTGAATAATTTAAGCAGAAACTAGAAACAATTATGAAAAAAATATTAATGAATGAGGCTCATTGTCACTTCTGAGCTGAAAGCTGCCCTCAGAAACATAATGAGCTTGATATCGGGCCATTGGGTTTACTGTGATCTGATCTGACTGTGGGATTAAAAAGAAACCAATGGTTCAATCAAATACTACTACTACTACTACTAATAAAATCATAATGGGCTGTGGCTACATTCAGAATCAAATCTGACATACCAGTATGCATTAACTAGCCTACCGAATTTTGCTTCAATATACAGTGCAGATTAACATGCCCACACTAATTGAAACTGTAGATTAAACAGTAAGACATCTAAGCATAAGATATGTACATCATATGCTGTGCTAAATTGTCATATTGTCGTCAATCACTCTTTAAAGAGGAATAATATATTCAAAAGCCGAATCTGTTCCTGTGCACACTCAATGGTAGGCTTAGGACTGAGCAGCACTCACAATTTGTTTTGTGCTCTATTAAATATCGTCAATACACTAAAAACCCAATATAACTGAGGGAGGCTGAGCACAAGAAATTAAATGGAAATACAAACATGTGATTAAATGTTTAAAACAAGCTATTGATAAAGAATTTCACTGAAGACAGCAATTGGAATTCAAATCAGCTCAAGGCAAATGTGCCACCTGTTAGTTGTGGCACATTTCAACAAGACCCAAGGTTCCCTTTACAACTGACATTAGCATATCTTCTGTTTCTGGATTATGACTTACATGGATGACATTTCTGATTTTTCAGTTGTGATCCCTGCACACACATTTTAATCTGATTTATCTTCCCCACACAAAGCACAATGAAACCAGATTTCAGTTTCCCCTCAAAAATGCAGATCTAATGTCTACAGTGAGCATGATCCTCCAACCAGGCAAGCAGCTGTAAGCAGATAGCAACTCACCGCATGCAGCAACAGATTACACAGCAGCAGAACAAGAAATGGATTTCACTTAGTGAGCTCCATACTGAGTGAGTAACAATATATCAGCACAAGATCGTTTTGCACACTGGCATCTGCAAATGGCAACATAAGGTAACATTATAGAAACAACCAGATGACCAGGATGTAATATGTTCTAAGCAAATTGCACCCAGCACTGCCATGTTCACATTCGTCAGCTACCTTTCTACTAAAAAGAGGAAGAGATGAAAACATTTAAACACATCACCAGCTTTCTGTGGACCAAGCATGTCAGAGTAGAACTTTAGTCTAAATTTAATTAAATTCCTACATTGAAATGGAAATCTCAGTGATTCTTTAATTATTCTGATAACATAATACAGACCAATATGGCTGTCTATAAATGCTGCAACCTTGTGTGCTGCTTCAACAATTGATGCTGATTTTGTTCACTCTAAACTGACAGAAATTGCCTGAGAAAAAAAAGATGAAAATGACTATGGTGTGAAAGGTACTTTAGAACAATGTGTATGTTTAATAAGGCCAGCATCCATTATTAAATTTCTGGGCTATGACTCAGTTCACAGCCATGGAAGCTGAATGCAGAGATTCAGCACTCACTCTTTTGATGACTCTAATGAACAAGCATGTGCTGCCTGGGTCTTAAAGGTGATGATAAACACATACATAATGGTGACTAGAGTGTTTGACAAAGTAATATTAACTGAAGGTCTTTTCAGCAAATGGAAGTACTTCAGGTGCCATTATATGACCGAAGTGTGTAACGTCAGTTGTGTGATAAGAAGCTGTTGTGAGCCAGGTCCGGATGATGAAGACTCTGAGATGTGGTTGAAAGCTATAAAAAGAAGACCTTTAGTGTGAGATTAGTTTGTCACACATACTGATGCCAAGATTAAGAATGAACTTCTTCTTCTATGAACAGTCATAACATATTCTTAACATTTTGTTTAGCAGGGCATTCTCTTAATAGTAATATCAGTCTCTCAATAAAACAGGACATGATTTTGTTTGTTTTGGTTTGATTTAAGGTTATTAGGCTTAATATTGGTTGACAAAACATAATAGAAATGCTGATGATTTTATTCAAATTATATTCAGTACCAATAGGTACAGGCATTTTTATATACGTATGGTGGGTTTGTGTGCATGGGTTTGTTGTGCTTTAGGGCCTGTCCTCACAAATAAATTTTTCTCGATTCCGGATAAATACTTTATCGTATCGGCCTCGCATCCAGACAGATACAGCGTTTTCAGGGTGTTTCGGTATTTTCTGGAAACGGGTCCCAGAGTGGGGA